ACTACTACTACTACTACTACTACTAGTAGTATTACTAGTACTACTACTATTATTTTACCGCTTCGACTACTACTATATACTTCTTCTACTTCTACTTCTACTGCACTTTTTTACTACTACCACTCCTACTATTAGTACTATTACTATTCCTATTTACTACTACTACTACTGCTACTATTACCACTGCTGCTACTACTACTACTACTACTATAACTACTAACTACTAACTAACTAAATAACTAACTAACTAACTCACTACCTTACTGACTAACTAAATGCCTACTGCCTGCTACTATTGCTACTACTTCTACGACGACGACGACGACGACTCAACTCATCGGTGTCCTACTACATTATAGTTATTCTCCAATGCTCATGCGGATGTCCACGTATGTCCAGGTTAACCTGGCGCAGCCCAAACTTGGCGCCAACAATCCATGTCTGGATGCCAGCGTGGAGACTGCGGTTTGGCTTCCTTCTTTCTTGGAGGCAAGAAGCTGTAACCCGCCTCCAACCCCACCTTTTCTGAGCGTCTTCGTGTCTTGCAAATCCACATGACATTCCTTGTTCGGGAAGGTCCCGCTCGCCCCGTCCAGCCTTAGCTCAGCTGAGATCCTCTTCTTGCCCCGCAACCCGTATTCTGCACTGCGCAGGATAGCAGCATTTTCTTTGACTTGTCACGCCGCCGCCAGCGCTCCCCTTTATTACTTTACATATATAGGCTCTGCAAATGCGGAGCGTGCAGTTGTGTCAAGAGCTTCTTTGGTGAAGACGACTCCGCTGTCTAGACAATTGCACCTATCGCAAGCGTAGCTCAGCTCCTGGTCTCTTTTGATTGTGGGTCTTCAGCAATCTGCGCGTCGTCCCCTTTCCCTCTTCTTGTTTTCGGTCTTGTTCCAAAGACAGCTGCAGCGAAATCTGCGCATCGAAGTAAGACTGTTCCGACCCCTGCGCCTGCCACAAACAAGGGCTTGAGACCACCAAAACACGTAGAGGCAGAAACTCTAAAGATCTAGAGGTCCTAGAGATCTAGAGCTCCAGATCCAGAGGCCTTGAGATCCATTTGATTCTTGAGGTCCAAAAAGATCTAGAAGTCCAGAAAGATCTAAAGTCATGGTGGTGGTGGCGGTGGCAGTGGTAGTAGTGGCACTGGTAGCAGGGCGGTCGTCGTCGTCGTCGTTGCAGTAGCAGTAGCAGTAGCAGTAGCAGCAGCAGCAGCAGTAGTAGTAGTAGTAGTAGTAGTCGTCGTAGTCGTGGTAGTAGTAGTAGTAGTAGTAGTAGTAGTAGTAGTAGTAGTGGTAGTGGTAGAGGTAGTGGTAGTAGTAGTAGTAGTAGTTAGTAGTAGTAGTAGTAGTAGTAGTGGTAGTAGTAGTAGTAGTGGTAGTAGTAGTAGTAGTGGTAGGAGGAGGAATAGTAGTAGTAGTGGTAGTGGTAGAGGTAGTGGTGGCGGTCGTAGTAGCAGCAGGAGTGGTAGTAGTAGTAGTAGTCGTCGTCGTCGTCGTAGTGGTAGTGGTAGTAGTAGTAGTAGTAGTAGTTGTTGTTGTTGTTGTTGTTGTAGTGGTAGGAGTAGGAGTAGGAGTCGTAGCAGTAGTAGTAGCAGTAGTGGTAGTAGCAGCAGCAGCAGTAGCACACCTCACGGAAGTAAAACCCTGATAAGGAACAGCGGATATTAAATGAATTATATTTTTTTTCATTGGCAGCTGATCATACGCTCCCCACTGCACCCTCGTGCCTGCTGCATACATACACACACGTTTCCAGGCAAACTAACAGCATTTGTTGTGTTGACCATGTCTCCGGCCACTCACTGTTGTAAGGAAAGGAATCTCCAATTACGTTAAAGCACACGGCGCGGTTTTCCTGGCATGCGCTTGCCTTGCTTCCTCTGCAGAAGCAGGGCTGCGGGGGCATGTTGTTGGAAAAATTTGTCTCCAGAAAGAAAACATCAGACACTTATGCCTTGAAGGTTTTGAGTGACGTGCCGATGTGCCAGGGTGCCTTGAAGAAACTGAAAGATCCATGGTTGCATCGATTGGTCTATGAAATACTCAAGGCGCGATGGTGCAGTGGAGAATCAGTGCTGCTATGCTGCCAATGTGGACACTTAAAAGTCTGCGCGACAAACGTGTGTGATGAGCTGACAATGGCCATTGCTGGGTTTTAGTGTGAACATTTTCTGGCAGCAAGGCCATTCAAGACTCAAGGCCTAAGGTCTCAGGCCTCTCAGATAGCTGTCCAGGTAGATGCCGCGCAAACATTCCTTGTCTCCCTTAAAGTAGGTTTCGAGGACATTTCAGTTTGGCTCATGCGCTGTAGGTTCCCCAGATTGAAGAACGCCTCGAGTGTATGCTGTTCCAGACAGCTTTCGAGGACACCTTTTCCTTGCACATGTCGTATCGTGATCATATCATCGTGTTTGGCTCAGGAGAGCGTTGCGAAATGCTCCAGGAATATTGATATCATGTGCGAGGCCAGTGACTTGCATGCTGTCGATTCAGCAGGCTATTTATGTAGGCGAACGGAACCTCGTTCCTTTCAAAGGCAGACAGACAGTTACACCACAACGGACATGTTCATTGGACTTGCTTGCAACCCCTTCTCGCGCTGGTTTTACTACTTTTGTATAGCCGTGCCACGTAAGACAATAAAATATGGTACGTAAGCCCCACTTGCTTTTGCGGTCAAAGGATCACACTACATATTCATCAAGAGCACACATTGAGAAGTGTACCAAGTTTCCAGATTCCATGCTTTTGGGGAAAGCCAAGCGCCCCTGCATAGGATGACGCGCGCGAACATTTGGCTTTGGCTCAAGGCACAAGCGAGAAAAGACCGGTGCAAGGTCACAACCACAGGTTATGAGCCCCAAGGTTGGTTTTTTGTTGGGTTGAAGTCCACCCACGACCAGCTGAGTGAGCGGCGTGGTGTTGGTTCCCATGGATAAGCGGCGCCGGCGGATGCGATCGAGAGAGGTTCGTGAGGCCGAAGGTTTCAGAGGGCTTCTTCGGCACCAACTACGGGGGATCCAGGAGTTCGACGAATACGTGTGGATCAACAAGGAGATGGCCAAGAACGTCGATTAGCAGGAGGTGATCAGGGCTCAGGCATGGACCAGCGTCCTGTGCAGTTGGGTCTGGGTCAACTCCAGGACACGGTGCGACATGGTCTTGAAGCCCTACAAGCTGCTCTGAGAGGTGGTCAGACGGCCCCGGGACTACTTGATCCGCTCCTTCGGCCCCACGATCATGGAATTTCTGGAGGGCGTCCTCCTGCAGATCGGCAAGGGCAAGGGATGGTGATGTCGCCTCACACCACAGGTGTGAACTGAACCCAGGAAGTGTGAGAACTGCTGTCTGTACGCCGGAGGCCGGAATGGGAGGTCTTGTGGGGGATGTGCATCCAAGAGTGTTGGATCCCTACGCTTCGCCGGGAGCAGAGGTGAGTCTCTTCTGGAGTGCGCCAGTGAAGCAGATGGCCGGTGACGGAAGTGCAAGATCCGTCAGCGAATTCTCAAGGAGGCCGAGGCCAACTTTGCCAAGGAGATCAAGATGCATCGTCGTTTGCGTCGGCGGCTAGTGCAGCTGCAGCGGAGCAGGCGAAGAGAGAGGCGGGAGCGAGTCTGGGTGAGGGCCCTGGTCCATCGAGTGGTGGCGGAGGGGTAGAGCGACCTCCTGGACTTCCAGCTGACCGACCTGCGGCTGAGCCAACCGGAAGGAGAAGGAGAAGAAAGCCCCAGTTTACTGGGGCACAGCGACTGGGCGCAGGAGGGCAGACACTTGCTCCTACGCACACTCATGGGGCCAGTTGGAGAAGTCTGGTCGATGCTTCATCTGTGGACAGGGCCACATGTCGCGTGAATGTCCCTACAAGAAGGAGACTAAGGAACCCAGAAAGACGGCGAAGGTCAAGGGCACTACCTCGGAGGAGGATGAGACTGGCATGCCGGACGTGCCGGACGACGCGCTGGAGATGATGGCTGGATTCTCGAGCGAGCCGAACCCAGAACTGCTGCCGTGGAATAGGTGCACGCGGCGCCATCGCAAGAAAAGTCGGGGCTGGCATGGTGATTCACCTGCTGACGCGGGCCGTTGGAAGGGCGCCCTGCCGGATGACATGGATTCCATAAGAATCCTTTAAGATAAAATGCGTGAAACTCATAAATTTTGTGAAAACAAATAAACTTTAAAAAATGACAAAACTAAAATATAAAATATTTCTAATAATAAAGCTTGTTTGGAATAATAAACTAATCTTGCGAGTGTATACACGACCACCACCACCAACGCCACCGCCACCAACAACAACATTGCCAGTGGGTTCGTGAGCTTCCTCACTTTCGACAGGACATCGTGGCATATTGCCACACTGCTTGCGATGGCCTAGCTGAGCCGTGCATAGATCTCTCCAAACTGTCAAGAAAAGCTAGTATACTACATTTCCAACGCGCTCAGAATCTCTCTCAAACTCTCACGCGCAACTCTCTCAAAACCCGCAATTAAGTCTCTCAAACCTAGCTTATGCGCAAGTCTCGAACAGGCCTGGTGGCGCCTTTGGCGCAGCAGGAGGTGGTGCAGCTGCTTCGGGTTTCTTGAAATGTCTGCGTTGAAAGTTTGAGGGTTTCAAGAGTTTGGAGAGTTTCTGGTTCTGGAATTTTTTGGGATTGAAAGTTTGAGGGTTCTGAATGGAGAGTTTTAGTTTTGGGATTGAGAGTAATTATTTGAGGGGCTGACTGGCTCCTGAAAAGGATGAGGATTCACCCTGTCAAACGAAGGTTCAGTCTCTCAAAACACTCAGACTTAACTCTCCAACAAATCGAACAACGTCTTCCTATTGACAACCTTGCTAGTAGGGGTTCGTTGAAATTTCCTCAAAATTTAAACCCCGAAAGCTCAAAAAACCAGAAACTCAAAAAACTCCTAAGCGAAAGTCAGTGGGCACCTCCTCCAACACTTGCTCCAGACCACATGACCATATATGGCTGCGGCGTTCAGAAAACACTCGGAACTCTCAACTAACCTATAACAACGTATATGCTTCGATCCTCACCACACCATGGGCCGTCCCCGTGAGCCCATTTGGCGCGCATAAAAATACACAGTTTTTTTCCACACACCATATGCGTCAACCGATCTTGTCGATCATTGACCAGCGGCTCGCTATTCTGATTCGATCGTGGTCAATATATGTCTACAGGTGCCCTCCTGACGCTTTTGCTGGAAGGTCGCCTGCAAACTCTATTTGGAAGGAAGACTCTGCTTCACGGCTGTTTGGCATCTAGACCTGCCAATTGGCTGTCTGGCATCTAGATAACCCTGACTCGGGCGTTTAAGCCCAAGGTTGTTGTCCAACAGCTTTGCCATAAAACAACTGCATTTTGCCTGCCATCCACCACTGTCACTCTTCCAAAATTCATCTCATAACCCGCCTCGGACTTCTGAGACCCAGGTTTGCATCAAACAACCTCACCAGCGCCATTGTGTTTTCTCGTTGCCCGGAGGGTGTGCCGCGACCAACCTGCTATTTTTTGACAACTTGTCATTCACAACTTTCATTTTTCCACAGTCTGACGTGTCTTCTCGCCAAGTTCCTTTGAACCTTCAAGTCCATGTCGTCACGTCGCCCCGGATTTGTTTGAAACCGTTCTGCATCCCAAAGGGGTTGAACTGAGAAGCTCTATTCACCTCAAAGATCCTCAGAGTCCTTTTGAACTCCCTTCATCCGAAGAGTGTTTGATCCAAAACAAAACGAAGCAAATATAGGCAATTCTTGATGCAAAAGGCTGGGGTAAAAGGCTATGCTGCTGATTGAGCTGCGAAGGCAATCTGCAAGTCAAAAAGTCGGCGCAAAAAGGATGAATGCATCAAATGAAACGGAGAGAGGGAATCGTCGCGGGCAGATTCCTACAATTGGCCTGATTCACATGGTTTTACTTCTCACTCCTTCTCTTGCTAATCAATCTATTCTTTGCGCGGGTAGCTTCTCAAAACCTGTGAATATGTCTATGCTGCTCGTTTTGCTGCATTTCCATATGAACATGTAGCTTTCGAGGCGATCGCCCTGCAAAGCCTAAACCTCAAACACCCTCGCTCCAACTGAAGGTCAATGAACTTCAGATCAGTTTTCCTTATTTAAATCCCATCTTGCGACAAACACCTGTTTTTGATTGGAGTCCTACATTTGGGTGCCTACAAAACGTTAAGAACAATCACAACTCTTCACACTGGCCTGGACACTTTGTCAAAACCACAAGGCCACCTTGATGCCACGATCGCTTGAACCATTTCATCTCACACTTGTTGAACATATTCTGCAGCCCAATATCCACTTCTCACCCGGCTCCAAATAGTCAACATCCTTTTCATCGATCCCACTTTCCTGTACTTAATCAGCCTGAAGTTTTTCCCTTCTTGGCTTGCTTGGTCATTTGCATCGTTTGGTTCGTCGCTCTGCTTTTCCTGGTACATTGATTGTCCTCTCTTGCTTTTATCTCTTTGCTGTCTCCTTAACAAGATTGCCCCAGTCTTGCAGGCGTTGTTCTATTGCTCCAGTAGGTTGCCAAATTTCTTACCTAGGTTGATTATATACTATTTAATCTTCAATCAATTTATATACTATTCCAACTGTATTGCGAGGACTGGCATTGCAAACCAAGCAAGGTGCATTTTAAACAATTGGTTCAGAACTAAACAAAAACAAACGCACTTCGCCTTTACACAAACATCCTTTTGAAAGAAAATGACTCCTTTCAATGGACGAGACCTTTGCAACAAGGTGTTTGGAATGATGAACTTACTTATTATACATATGTTGAGGAAAAATGTATAGACTCATTTTTTGCACGAGAGACTTGCACAAAGGAGGGCAGCTGTACGAAGAAGTCTTCTGGATAAACTTTAAACACGTTTCCTTGCGTTGCCACTGTAGTTTCTCACCCTTGATCGCACTCTAACTTGACAAACTTATGTGGCCCAAAGCGCTGAGATGACTCAAGCTCCTTGTATTCAATTCCTTCGCCTTGGCGTCTTTTGTAACTTGCCTGGTCTTAAACCCTAGTTGTGGAAGTTTCCTCTCGCTTTCTCATGTGTTCTCCCAAGCGCCGTAAGAAGGTTGAGTTCTATTCGCATTCTGAAGTAGTTTGTAAAAACACTCTCTTGTCGCGAAGCGATGTTCTTTAAATGCTATTTAATCATGCTCTAACTAGACAAACTGACATTGGATGAACACATGGGCCTCAGAAGTCCCAGGCCCGGTTATGACCAGGTAAATATCTAGGATGTGGCCCAACGTCCACCGCAATTGTGCTCCAAGCACTTTGCTCAGAGTCTCAAGCTCTCAATACTCTTAAAACTCTCAAAGCCCTCACACTGACAACAGAAGTCTCTGAAAAAGTTTCAAGTCCGCGCAGGCTCAAACACTGTAACTCTCCAAGCTCTCAAAGCTTCCCTCTCAAACTCTCAAAACTCCTCAAAC